ATTATTCATTACTTCTGTCTTTTATTACAGTTATCGCAACATTCATTTCATTTGTCCAAAATACAACAAAGTCTTTAAATACTCTATTTACTCTATTGTATTTTATGCTCTGTTGCTCTGTTTCTTGGTTGCCATCTAGTGTGGGTTATCTATACAACTAGCCCAGGTCATTACCGCTTGTAAACACTGATATAAAGCTGCCATCGGAGTTTTTTTTGTGATAAATATTTGAAAACAGTTTCCATGTAAACATTTTTCAAGTGCAAATCATCTGTAACTTCAGACCAACCATGAGAAGTTTATCATCATTCTTTATTCTGTGTTTCGTCTCATCCATCAATGGAGATTGTAGGTTTAATATAATTATTTAATGCGTTTCTTAGCTAAAATCAAACATCTTTGCACATTAATTAATGTCAGTTTTAATTTTGTGTAATTTCAATAAGATGCTATGTTTGATGTACAAGCATTCAGTAATCTTTGCGAATTCTTTTGATTGCCATTTTTTTGTCCAATTCATCTACTTTCAGCATATGATGGACGCGTTTGGTCCCACAACCGAACTTTTAGTCTGTTGAAAACTGGAAGATTTTTCGTTAATTCTGAAAATGAATTTATGGCCAGAGTGGCAGAGGCCTATATATCAAGAGCTACATCATATGAATATCGGTTCAAATTCGACCAATTTCCACAGTATGATAAAACCATCGTATCAACTTCACAAATAGAAGGATACTCAGTTAGATTTGCATCAAGCTGTGAACCGAAAGGTGGTAACTATACAGTACAAGTTGAAGTACGGAGATCTGAACTCGGTGCCCCAATGCATTCGCTAGGAACTCTTCTTGACACCTTCGAGCTTAAAGGTGAGATTAGCAAGTCACCAATCCAAAAAATAGACCAGTTCAAATGTACTTGTCCGCTGGAGATGTGCTTTATTTATTTTATCCATTTAAAAAGCGTAAAATTGGGTAAAAGTATCGATATTTTGTACTATTCGATAACTGAAAATGGATATTGCAAATCCTAATATAAAGCGACTATCTAGTTTTTTAGTGATCAAAAATCCTGTCCATTCACCTTTGAGAATCATTT